TGCTTCTCTGGAAAACCGATGTATGTGTCTGGGTTTGGCGGTTGCCAGGAGGAACAGTACTTGCCTGACTGAATTGTGTAAAGTTTGGTGGAGGGGGGATTATAGTGTGGGGCTGTTTTTCAGGGGTTGGGCTTGGCCCCTTAGTCCAGTGAAGAGAACTCTTGAGGCTTCAGCATACCAAGACATTTTGGGCAATATCATGCTCCCAACTTTGTAGGAACAGTTTGGGGATGGCCCCTTTCTGTTCCAACATGACTATGGACCTTGCTTTGAGCACTGGTGCGCGAAGACATGGATAAGCGAGTTTGGGGTGGAGGAACTTAACTAACCTGCACAGAATCCTGACCTCAACATGATAGAACACCTTTGGGATGAATTGGATGAGAAGGCCTGGCTCACAGTCTCTGCTCTGACATCAGTGCCTGACCTCACAAATGTGCTTCTGGAAGAATGGTCAAACATCCCCATAGACACACTCCTAAACCTTGTAGACAGCCTTCCCAGAAGAGTTGAAGCTGTTATAGCTGCAAAGTGTGGACTAACTCAATATTGAACCCTACAGACTAAGACTGGGATGCCATTAAATTTCATGTGCGTGTAAAGGCAGGCTTCCTAATAATTTGGGCAATATAATGTACATATGATGTGCATTGCTGGAATGACTGAGAGATACCTAGAGCGTTAAAGGATAAGTTCACTTTTTGTAACATGTTACACCCATGTTCAGGGTGTAACATGTTACACAAGGACTGGCTCACCCCAATCCCCTATTGTGACAGCTAGTGGGGGATCTTCTCCTCCTGCTAGCTGTCACAATTTTAAATAAACTTGGCCATGCAGGGCTCAGGCTGCGTTATTCTGTGAATGGGAAAACTACTAGTACTAACAGCCTTTTGCAGCTGTCGGCTTGTAGTTCTCAATTAAGTACCACAGTGCTGCAGTAGTTCATTCATTTTTCCTGTCATTATCTGCCTGGCCATATGATGTACAGGCACACAGATACACTGACAGGTGTGCAGGAGACCTGCAATCTGCTGTTCGCTGGTGCGATGCTTTCCAGGCTCCCAAAACAAAAAATGGTAAATGCACATTTTTATTTTTTTTTTACCTTAAACAAAAAATGACAAATGCACATTTTTTTAAACTTCTTGATGCCGACGTCACACAAATATGCGGCCTCACAGAACTGGGCTTTTTTCCGTGGGCCGGCACATTTGCTTACCTGTCATTGTGCTGGGAGCACGCCACACTGTGTGCTCCCAGCACAAAGACCGCGGTGTCACTGAGAGCCCTGGGTCCCGTTTTAACGATCAGGACCCCCGATTCCGGGTCACATGATCGCTGTGATAGCCTCTGTGATCAGTCACTGTGCAGCCCTGCCCCCTTTTGTTTTTTTTTTTTCTCTCTCTGTGATTGGAGAAGAGATACATTGTATCTCTCAAACTCCTGGCATAGAGAGAAAAATGTTTGTAAAAAAGAAAAAAAATAAATATTAAAAAATAAAGAAATACCTAGATCAAGGTTTGATCTAGTTCAGTGCTAGGGTTATTGTTTAGGTCAGGGTCAAAGGTCAGGATTAAAAAAAAAAAAAAGGTGTCGGTGGCAATGTCAGTGTGTTTTTAGGTAGAAAAAAAAAAAAAAAGACAAAAACAAAATGCGCACAATTGCTTCTGGGCTGTACTACAGGTACAAATAACATACACATATATGGTATCACTGCGATCGTCAAGAGCTGGAGAATTTATTTTGGGTTGTTCTTTTGTGGTAGGTTATGGTAGTAACAAGAAACACACAGCTAAATAAAAAAAAATTTTTTTTTTTTACTATTTTGGGCCAGTTTTCCTTTGATAATAAAAAAAAAATCAGGAGATATCCATTACCATTTACCACCATATGAAAGCCCAATTTATCCTGAAAAAAGACGCGGTATAATTCACCTCAATGTACAAAGTAGTTTTGATGATATGTACAGTTTTACTAACACATGTCAACGTTGCATAATTGTGCTTAGGCATTTAGATTTGTTTTACCCTTAGGCGTGAAGGGATTAAAGATGAACTTTTCTTTTAAATCCCCTATTTTCCTCTTCTGCTTTGTTCTGGAGCTACATTGTAAAGATTTTTCCAATGTAAGGACTCGGAACAGATTATGCAGAGAGTTTATCTGCCTGGGTGGTGCAACCAGTCTGTTAAAATCAATGACAGGCTGAACGCTGCATGGATCTTCACTTACAGCCCCCCAGTGTACATTTTGTGTAGGACCACCGAGGCTCTGAAGACTGTGTTCAGAACCATGCATCGGTTCTGCACTAATGTACACTCGGGGATGTAAGCCCACGTACAGGCTCTGCAGACCACCTGCACCTCGCAGGCAGATGAACACAACCCTCTACATGGGTATACTGATCCCTTTGCTCATGTGAATGAGCTCTAAGCAATTCAAAATTGTTAATTGCTTGTACTTCGTATAATGGAACAGCAGGATGTGGTTTTATTGCTGAAATTACGAACATTTTAGTACAGAGAGAAAGTGATACAGCTTCACAGTCAAGTTTACACATTTTATTACATTTTATAATGAACAAGTCACTACAAATTTCTTTTCAGAAAGCAGTAAAAAGATTTTCTAAAATGTTATCTACTTGATTAAAATAGATCACTTTCCATGCACTATAATGACAGACTAATTCAAACCTATCCCAAGTTTTATTAGGGTAAACTGGATTGCAGTTCACTAAATTGAATAGTAATTGCATTTAATCACCGTGTGGCATCATTGAAGTGCATTTTAAGTGCATATGCCTGAAATGTGAATTTTAATTGAGGGACATTACCTTCTAGATGTGTGTATGAACATTTGACCTTTCTATAATGCAAAGCAGAATAGAACCAACACATAAGCAGCAAGTGTTACCAAGGACTTCATTTACATAAAAAAAAATATGCATACATACATACTTTTGTGTGTGTCAACCAGGTTGTAACACCTAGCGCAATTCTGTTTTTTATGTTCAGTCTGCTACTTTGACTACTTGTTTTTGGGTGGATATGGTGATTTTCTTGCTGGTGTTGACCCTTAAAACCAAATCTTAGTTTTGGGTGAAAATTCTTCCCCACAGCCTTAAAGATACACTCTGATTAGTCATGATATTATGACTATCCACCTAATATTGACTAGGTCCCCCTTTTGTCACCAAAACCGCCCTGACCCATCAAGGCATGGACTATTCAAAGCAAATCACTGCCTCTGCTTCCTTGCCTTCTTCCCATAGTGCCACCTCCTTCCCAGGTAAGCAATGCACATGCACCTGGCCATCCACATAACGTAAAGGGAAAAAAAAAACCAAACATGATTATCAAACCAGGTCACCTTCTTCCATTGCTCTATGGTCCAGTTTTGATGCTCATGTGCCCATAGTAGTCACTTTTGGCTGTGTACACTGGTCAGCATGGGCACCATGACAAGTTTTCAACTATGCAGCACCATATACAACAAACTGTGATGCACTCTGTGTTGTGACACCTTTGTTATCAGAACCAGCATTAATGTTTTCAGCAATTTTGAGCTACAGTAGCTCTTCTATTGGATCACACTAAATGGATCAGCCTTTGCTTCTCAAGTGCATCAGTTAGACTTGGCCATCCATGACCCTGTCAATGGTCTTCCTTCTTTGGACCACTTTTGGACAAGAGGTACAGTTTTGAAGATGCTCTGACTCAGTCTACCCATTACAATTTGGCCCTTGTCAAAGTCTTTCAAATCCTTATGCTTGGGCTACGTTTACACTGATCTGCGGCAATACCTAATATGTGTTTTTGCTATGTCTGCAGTGCGTTTTTTACAGGAAATGTAGGTGTGGTTTTGGTGTGTCCTTCTAATTCTTTTTTTTCACCGCACCAAAAATGCAGCAAGTGGGGTTTTAAAAAAAAAAAAAAAAAAAAAAAAAATATGCACCGGACCCACAAGAGGTCACTCTGAAGAGTTCCATAGGAATACATGGAATACATTTTTAACTCAAAAGTGGAAGAAAAACAGATCAGTGTGGAAAGCAGCCTTACCCATTTTTTTACTGCTTTCAACACATCCGTTTCAGGGAGAACTCTTGTTCACTTTGCTGTCTCTTATATCCCACCGACTTTCAGGTGCCATTGTCACAAGATAATCAATGTTACTCACTTTACCTGTCCGTGATCATAATGTTATGGCTAATTGGTGTGTATATATTCTGCATTGGAAAGGAACCAATAAAGCTAATTAATAATCTATATATTAAGTGTGTAACTGGTGAACAGAGTGGGGGTTATCGTTTTTAGAGCTTCATTTTAGGCACCCGCTAAATACACAGATGAAATACATACAAGGGACCTATTTTGTCTGCCAAAGGATTAGCATTTTTGCCTATACAGTCCTGAGATTTACACAGTTCTGCCAGATAACTGCAGCAGAGAAAAAAAAAGAAGGTCTTCAGATAAGTAACACTTAGAGGTCTTTTCCTTCTCCAGCTTGTAACTGGACAGCAAAAGGAAAAGCAGACCGATAAGCTCATATCTTAACCTCTGCTTTCACTTCCTTTTAGCATTCTCCTTGTTAGCAGATGTGTACTGCAATCCCACTGGTTGTCTAAAGCTGGCCATAGAAAATCTTGTCCGGTTCAGCAGGGACTGTCTGGGATTCGAACCATGTATGGGCAGGCTGATTGTACCCAAGTTGATCGATCATTCATCTTGAGCACAACTAGCCTGTCGTATTTCTCATGTGATTATTGGCAGCAGCTATAGCCACTACCAACAATCACTGTGTGTTCTCTCAGCTAGGGCTGCTCCCAGTGCCGGGAGAATACAATCGCTCCAGGGGAATCTAGCAATTTTTCTTTCCTGAAACCACAGCTCCATCTGTGGCCGGCTTTAAGGTACCCAAGTGTAAAATTAAAACTGTTTAATTGTAGTGTAAACCTATTAATATAATTTTTTGTTCCACATTTCTGATTCTCTTTCTGGCAGGATGAGCGGGGTGGAGAACGGGAGAACGGTGATGACTTGGAACTAGTGCAAGATGAAGGGGTAGAAAAACTGGATACGAGGAACAGAAAAGAAGGCTATTACTGATCATTATTTTTTTTTATTTTTTTTTTTTAATGATACATGCACTTGAGCCTTGATGTGCGAGGCAGAAGAAGAAAATAAAACCTAGATGGCACAAACCATGGAGTGAACTTAAGTTACATTTGGAGGACGCTGCAGATTGGTGGACTGATACATCGGTGGACTTGCCTCTATGTATGATAATAAAATTCAGAAGGGCTTCAGCTAGGACTTCTTATGGACAAATTCCTTTCTGTGCTGCACTAGCCTCAGACATGCCTTTCTCTCTGTGACTGTAAATGAGGAATATATCTATTTTTTTATAACTTCTGCACAGCTCATGCAAGTTTCTTACCTAAATTCTGTTTTCTTTAATATCAGAAACTGAACCGTGGAGGCACCTTTTATGCATATTTTTTTTTTTTTTTTTTTTTTTTTACGCCTGGGAGCAGAAGAGCATGGACAGATTTTATAGAAGTGCATCCTCCAAGACATAATTACAAATTTGTTTGTAGAATATCCGATAGAGGGACTATTCGTTGGAAAGTGACACTTCTGTTTTTGTTAGATACTTTTTGGTTTTTACCAACTATGGACTTCAAAACTGAGCCTTCCATGCTGGCATTCTATGCCCAGGTCCTGCTATCTTGGAGTCTGACCTTTTGATAGTATCTACATAATACAAATAAAAATTCCAACAGAATGCGTGAGACTTGCTTGTAATGGTTATGGTAGAGTTATTTTAAAGCCTACCTCCCAGAATTTTTTTTTTTCATTTGGGATAAAGTGGGGAAGATCAGGTTTTTATTGGTGTCTGTACTACTTCTTTAGGATGTTATTTCCTCACATCTTGTTCTGATATCAGTCAAATTGACAGGATGTCTGCTGAAATTTTCCAAAAGGGGGCATAGCAAAAAAAAAAAACACTGACAAACTGTTGTAACCCTTCCTCAAGCTATCAAAAATAAAAAGGTTTGACTGGAATTGAGTTTTAAGCTCAGAAATCTGGCATAAAAGTCTGTGCTTCATTAAATGTGCCAACTTCTTGAAAGTCAATCTAAAACTGAAATTTCACATTTTGTTAGATATCATTAATATTAACTGCTGCTGGCTTCCTTTTGTCTTTCTGGAACTTGTAGAAACCTTGTCTCTAAAAGGTTCCCTACTTTCCATGTTTGGAGGGGCCATAAACAGTTTTTTTTACATTATAGGGGCTGTAGCAGAAAAAGCATCCAACTCCATCTCCCTCCTGCTGCAACAAGGTGAGGGAGATGGAGTTGGATGCTCTTCTACTGGTGCACTCCAGTTAGAGATGGATGCTGGTGGCTGAATCACTTGCTGGCTTTCTATTTCAGGAGTAGTTTAGATAGCAGCACAGAGCAATGGCACTACAAGGTTAAAGTGGTTGTAAAGACTCAAACTCATTTGAATGGGCTGCCGTGCTTTAGTTTTCCACAAAAAAGGTGCATGCACCTTGTGATGGACTAGGACCGCAGAGAGAGAGCACATGGAGGCAGATCATATGAAACCTGACATGCAGGCATTTATTGGGGAAATTTGGGGTACAGGCAATGAAAAAAACTAGTCCACAGAACAACACAAGACACAGCACTGAAGATTGATTCTCAGGGTGGCAATATGGGGCAGCAGGGTGCAAGTAGTCAGCAGGGCAAAGGCTCCAGGCAGAACAGGGTTGAAGATCTAGGTAGAGAGGGTTTTACGTCCAGCACAGGACAGAGTGCATGACAGGGATGGCAGTACCTTGGCAGTGTGGAGTTAACGAACTCACCAGCCAGCAGTGGAGAGCCTGGGGCGGAGAGGGCTGTAATGCTGGTAGCAGAAGTAGGTTAGATGGGCTCTCCTAGAGCTTGTGGTCCAGTCAGTGAAGGGGAGGGGGTCTGTGAGGTCTGGCCACAGCACAGACCTCACACAGCAACAGGCAGGGGAGAGCAGACAGGCAGGGTGCCCAGGACCCACTCCAACATTTGTGTCCAGAGTCGGGCGCGTTCTCATCTGGATAACCTGAGACTCTGCATTGAATTACCATGGTAACAGGCCTCACCCCCTCTACGCCAACTCACAAAGGGAGCGCAGCCTTTGTCTCTGGCAAGCACAGAGTGTGGGAAAATTGGGACTGTGCAGTGCCTGTGGATATAGGGAAGGGGGGCTAGTGGCGACGGGTGTGCAGCCTGCATGTAGTGAATCCACATGCAGGCACAGCGGGGAGGAAAACTGGCCAGCGCTTGGCCAGGTGCCAGACTTCGCTCGACAGCTGAGTGAGGGGACGCCAGGGGAGTAGTGGCAAGCAGGGAGGGGGGAGACCAGCCCTGTGATGCGCCTTTTTAAAAATGCAGCCGCAGGGTGCGTTCTCGCAAACACGCTGTGGGCTGAGATGTATGGGGTTGCCATTATTCAGGATGAATGGCAGCCCTGCACATCTTGTACCAGCAGCACAATTTGGCTATGGGTGGTTGCAGGTGCAGGAACAGATGTGATTCCCGCAACCAGCCTGCACAGTGTGAACCGGGGCTAAATGGGAGTAATGAGCTGCACACAGATACCTGTATTTCAGAATAAGGAAAACTAGGGCAAGGATTTCTAACCTGCATACATTTATTTTCATATGAATGCATGTTAAGAGCTGTAGAGGGTTGCCTAGTGTACACAGAATCATTGTCCAATGTGGCCACCAAATCTGGGAGGAGTTATCTAACATCTTTGTCAACCAGCGCTGCACGTGCATATTCATTTTCAACAAAATACATTCCAAGCATCTTAGGTGCATCTGAGTGCATTCGGTATTCAGACCCCCTTCACTTTTTTCAATTTTGTTATATTTCAGCCTGATAAGTTGTTGACACTATAGTTTAAATTCACATCTCTGAGCTCTGCAGGCAGTCCATTTGACCTCATGGTTTTTGCTCTGATAAAGTATGCATTGTCAGCTGTGAAGCCTTTTTATAGAGAGGTGTGTGCCTTTCCAATCAATTTAATTTACCACAGGTAGACTCCAATCAATGTGTAGAAACATCTCAGCAATGATCAAGAGAAATGGGCGGCACCTTTGTTGTTGTAAAGGGTCTGAATACTTTGTCCAATGTGATTGTCATGGCCCCCCCGCTCCCTTTCTCGCCCCCCTCCAGATCCCTGCACCCCCCCTCTCTTCCCCATTCCATGTCCCTGCACCCGCACGTAGCCCACATAAGTGGTGTGCTAAGTGCCAGGAAGCTGCCTCCTGCTGTGCCTGCATGTGGATTTCCCACACGCCCCCTCCCCTTGTCTCGGCGGGCACAGCACGGCCCTGATGTTCCCGCTCTTTGCACTTGCCGGAAACAAAGGTCATGGTCCCTGTGTGCTGCCGAGGTGAGGGGTGGGGCTCATCACCATAGCAACCCAAAGCTGGGGTGGCCGTTGCAACCTGGGAGCGTTCTGCTCCGGAGATAAATAGGAACAGTTCTATACCCAATGCCCAGCAGAGATGCGAGAGTGGGTGAACGAGAAAAACCCTGCCATCCTTGAGCGGGCTGCTGCAGTGGCAGACAAGGTCCTCACCATTGACCGAAGGCCCAGAGCCCTGCTTGGCCTCCCCACACCAGCCTTCTGGCGGCCCATCGTGCCAGCCCCAGGGCCCTCTCCAATGCCTTCCTACTGCCCCCAATTGTCGGAGCAAAGCCAGGACCGTCTGTGTTATGGGTGCAACCAGACCGGGCAACTCCAAGCTAGCTGTCCCAGGAACCACCGCCCCCACCTACCCGGTCAACTACATCGAACTACCACCGGAGAGGAGGAGCCACTTCCCCCACCGCCCAGTGAATGGGTGACCTCCACAAAGGCCAGTACACCCCGGGGAATCTATAGTGTTCTATAGTGTTCACCCACTTGTCCCTTCCCACCCTGAGCAGAGGCAGCACCACCTGCAAGCAGTCCTGATCGATGGGCAAAGTACCACGGGATTGCGAGACACCGGGGCCTTCCTCACCATCGCTGACCCGTGTTGTAAAACCGGAAGCCATCAAACTAGAAGGTGGTGCCAGGCAGCACATTCCAAGGTTCTGCCGGATTGGAGTTATGAGCAGGCTCCCCGGAGATGTCCTGCTTGGAAATTATTCAGGGGAGCTGTGGTGCCATTACGTCAGGGCTGTGACCAGGAGCCAAGCCAGTCGAGGTCTGCCAGCTGAAGAAGCCCAACTGGATCTGGTGAGTGCTCCCAACCCTGACCTAAATACCACTCTGACTTGGGACAATTTTTTTTTTTTTAAAGGGAACTGGATTCCGACCCCACACTGAGCAGATTTAGGACCCAGGCGGATGCATTAGGGGAGTGCAGGGAGCAATTCCTTTGGGAGCAAGGACTATTGTACCACCTGACGGACTCAAGCTGCCCAGGCCAGCCTCGGACTGCACCTAAACAGCTGATAGTTCCCCAACTGTTTAGTTTCCCTCTGCTCCAAATCGCCCATGACATTCCCTTAGCTGGACACTTGAGGAAGAAGAACAGAAAAAAGGCTGAGCCAAGCATTTTACTGGCCGGGCATCTCCCAGTCCATTGCTAATTTCTGCCGGACCTGTGATGTGTGTCAAAGAAAAGGGTGCTTGGGTGAAATGTCCCAGGGCTCCATCCCTGCCCATCGAGGATCCCTTTCAGAGGGTGGCGGTAGATATGCCCCTGTAAGTCAGGAAAACTATATATCCTTATTTATAGTGGACTATGTGACCTGCTTCACGGAGACTGTAACCCTGTCCAGCATTTCAAGTAGCAGAAGCCCTTGTCACCGTTTTTTTTTCCTGCATGGGATCCCCCAGTGAGATCCTAACTGATCAAGGCACCCAGTTTGTCAGATGTAATACAATCCCTGTGGTGCACCTGAGGGGTAAGGGCCATCCGGACCACCCCATACCACCCCCAGACCAACGGCCTCTGTGAACACTTTAACAGGACCCTAAAAAGCATGCTGAAATCTTTTGTAGACAGTGAGGCAGACTAGGAAAAAACCCTCCCCCCATCTTCTATTTGCATATTAGGAAGTG